ATTATAGTTTGGCATGTAGGAGATCTCGATCTCATTGAACAACTAACGGAAACAATCCGAAAGTCATTAATTTCTAATTCTAGGTGGAAGTACTGCTTAACAAAATAAATTGAGGTACAGCGTACAAAAAAAGTTATTCTATGAAAGTTGATACCATTGGAGTCATCATCAGTCCATTTGCAAAAACCACAATATCTCACACAACCAACTACAAGGTGGAGCTGAACAGAAGAGAGTTTTTGAAATGAGAATAACTCAGCTGTTTTTTAACTTGCATGAAGTTTTATTACGAAAAATGAAAGCTTATGTGAAACCATTTAACAATTGAAAATAAATATCTTGTTCAGCAACTGAAAGAAGATGATTTAACGCAACGCCAGCAATTCGCAATGAGAATGTGAATGATTTTTGGAGATGTAAGTGAACCATTGATAATACTGAGTGATAATGGTCATTTTCATTAGATCGTGAGTGGTTCCCTTAAGAAATTGAGTAATCGGACCTTTTTTCCAAAGATGCAAGATGGGCAAATGTGTCTGTAACCCCTGAGCGATACGTTTCAATGCTAAAAAACCTTGTGATCTCAGAATTAATACAATAAATATTTGACTCCAACGTGATGATGCCACAGCACATACTTACTGCCAGAGATGTAGATGTTTGGCATTTTTCATTCTTCATAATTATCACCTTTTCATTGTTATATGGTTGCATATTTCAGCATTTATTTTTCTGAATTCTCAATTAAATAACCCTTCATGTCTTAAATATGTCATATCTATGGAATATTACTGCCCTAGCATTTGCCTAAATGATCCAAGCAAACTATAGAAAAACTTGGACCAAGGCAGACGGACCCGGAATCGAACCCGCGTCCTCCCGAATGCCAAGCAATGGTCTAGTACTGAAGCCTCAATGCTAGCTCAGTTGTTTTTCTATTACTTCTTTTATTTTTTTTGTTTGGAATCTACGCTAGGGTTTCTGTATCCACCGTTTGAAACGTATACTTTCAGTACTACTAATCGGAAAGGATTAGCAGTCAGTTTTAGATTTCTCTCAAAGTAGCGGCAGTGTCGTATATATATATATATATTGAGCAATAATTACAATTAGAACAAAAAAGAAGTTTAAGTCATGGCCCTGGTCCGTCGTCAGCCCTTGAGAAAAACAAGGCATTTCAAGAGAGAGCCAGAACCAGCAGGTCGGGTATCGAATGTTGCTGCTGGATTATCACCTCTTGACACGATAACGTAATGCGCATTCCGTTATTTAGTATGTACGCTCAAGTGAAGAATTTCAAATTGTTTAACGTCGCATGGAGTACAAAACGGTCCTTGAAATTTTCCATCAGCTTCGTAAAGATTAATCCTAATTTGACAGCGGCATGGAAAGCGCCTAACGATTACAAGGTTAAATTTCAGACAAAATTGGTTCACACGCCTCAGCGCCAGGGGCAGCAACTAATAAATTAAATAATATTAGAGAGGAAAATTACATTTTTTAAAACCAGCTCAAGCCAGCAACTTCTCCTACGTTTTTTATGCTCAAATTTCCCAAAAATTTGTACATGTGAATTTTGAAACTACTGAAAACACAATATAAACTTTTAAATTAAATATGAAGCTTTAATAAGGGTTTCGTGTTTGTACCAAACGAACAAACTGCCAAAGAACTTTCAGAATAAAAAATGATAAGATTTTTAACTATTAACAGTGGTTAATATGAAATATTAGTGTGAAAATTCATTTTCAATTTTCCGTCCATTACAAGCTACCTCATGTTAATGAGGGAAAATTTTTGTTGCTATTGCCACACCCCCGCCGCGAATCGAACCCGACAGCTTGAAGTGGATGAAAAATTGAAAATGAATTTTCACATTAACATTACATAAGAAAAAATTCGAAGTAATTGTAGGTCAGTGAATGATCCTTGGTGTAATTGTTTGACGAAATACTTAGACAACATGCACAAGACTAATTGGTATAAAAATTACGAAATTCTTATCTTTGACAGGAAAAACAGAACGAAAAATTAAAAAAAAACTGTAAAACAACAGATTTTTAATGACTGTCGGATAGTTTTCACGTTATGTAACTCATTTTAAACAAACAAAGTGATGGAAAATATTCAAAACCAATTCGAAATGAACAAATAGGGACCTATACATTTACGTATTTTCCCATATTAGCCATTAAAAATTAAAATACTTACACGAACGAAAGCGTTGTAGAATTAAGGGCAGAACAATATTATATTTGCATAAAGGTATTTTCCTAATGAGTTTCTCTTGTTTTAATAACAAACCGTAAGTTCGAAAAACAAAAGGTACAGGCAAGATGAAAGTCAGTTTACTAAACAAGACTTAAAACTGGTAATGAGTTAAATTAAATTGGTGGTAGTAAAACTGTCAGAAACGTTCTGGTTAAGACGCGTGTGTTACGGCTTTAAATGCAGCCCGTTTGTTTACGAAAGGCGTCACCGTACGAAACAAAATGCATAAACTTCGACAATAAAACCGATCGGCCTGACAACTGTCGCCGACGTTTTATGATTGCCACGATTTGTCGCGATGATTGAAAGGGAAACTACCCACGGGGTGGGGTAACCATACTTCTTTTTTTTTTTTGTTGTTGCTTTTCCTTCTGCAACCCGACAACCAATCCGTAGGTAATTATACGAATACATAAAATCGAAATGGACAACAAAAACTAATGCCTACGAAATATTTTAATCTCTCTCTCATTTCGTAAAATATCTTTTTACACCATAACTTAACTATTTATGTAAGCATGTCTGATTTGTTTCTGTCAAAAAGTCGTAAATATTTTTTATACATATTTATAGTACAACTGTAGGGATAGATGTGCAAGGGCAAAAGATTAGTATGCTTAGATTTGCAGATGATATAGCAGTATTAGCATCTAGCAAGGAGGACCTAGAGATAGCTTTAAATAAAATGTAAGCGGTACTGACAGATCAGTACTGTATGAAAATAAATAAAAGTAAAACTAAAATACTGATATGCAAGAGAAGAAAAAGTAGGGAAAGAGCGAATATAAAGATAGGAGATGAAAAATTAGAAGAAGTGGCTGATTTTAGATACCTAGGAAGTCAGATAAGTGAGGATGGAAGGAGTAGTAGAGATATAAAGCAGAGGATAGCGCAGGGTCGTGTCGCCTTTAATAAAAAGAAGTCACTTCTATGCTCGCGAACGGTTAAATTAGAAATTCGAAAAAGGTTGTTAAAGGTGTATGTTTGGAGCACGGCGTTGTACGGGTGCGAAACATGGACAGTGGGAGCGGCGGAAAAGAAAAGGTTAGAAGCGTTCGAAATGTGGTGTTATAGGCGGATGATGAGGATATCGTGGGTAGAAAAGGTTAGAAATGAAGAGGTATTAGAAAGAATAGGAGAACAGAGGACTCTGTGGAAGTCAATAAAAAATAGGCGAGATAGGTTGGTAGGACACCTTCTTAGGCATGAAGGTCTAGTCAGAGACATATTAGAGGCAGAAACAGGAGTTAGGAGGGGTAGAGGTAGGCCTAGATTAGATTACTCTTCGCAAATAGTTAAGGATGTGGGATGTTCTAGTTTTAGGGAAATGCGAAGTTTAGCTCAGGATAGGAAAGAGTGGAGGTACGTGTCCAACCAGTCTTAGGACTGATGACCTTATGATGATGATGATGATGATGACCTATTTATAGTACACTAGGTTTTTCCCTAAATACATGTCAAAGATCATCGACGACCACATAAAGCTAATTTTTTCTTTCCCTCGGGAACGGTATTGTTCTTTGGATAAAAGGTATCCCATATTCCTGACAATGTGTTTAAAAAATTTCATGATTATCGGTTGAATAGTTATGGTGCGTTTTCCGATTCCATATCTACTTTTTTCTCCAAAGAGATGTCAAAGTTCACCAAAAATTTCCCTTTAAATATACTTATAATAATACTCGTTTCTGACTAATCCAAAGATGCTGAATTCCTATTATTTTGGTATAATTTCAGTATTTCTCAATAAAACACATGAATCCTCTTAGAGTCTTAATCACAATCACAATTTTATTTCAAATGCTATTTGAAAAATTCTTTCATATTCTTATTAAGTAATCTATAAGTATCGATTTCTCAGACATCAAATTAGTCAAGAATTAACGAAATCAATTTTCGTCAACTTTGACGCCCTTGACGGAAAAACTAGTCATCGAGTCGAAAAAAGCCATTGAAACACCCCATGGACAATGCTGTTCAGTGACTTTTTATCTGTAACCTGATAAAACTACCATTTTCTGAATAAAACATCATAAACAAATATGTGTAGTGTTTAGTGCAAATTTAAAAAAGAATGATATTAAAATATACGTACTCCTATGACAAAAACTTCAAAGGAGTTTAGCTCTTTATAAAATAAACAATTAATGATCATGCAATTAATTAGTGGTTCAACTGATCATCCTTCTAGAACGAATTCCAGTAAAAAACAACCTGGTTTGTTTACAGTTTAGAGAATTGTGTCAGACATTCTTAAAAAATGCAAAGGTTTCCTGGATTTTGCGCATCTATATCTGAATCACAATTCATCTAACAAATATTCATATAATTATTCTGTATTAGTGTTATCCTGAAATGAATATAAGTATCGCACACCATCAGAACATAGCTTTCGCAGATATTTACAATTTACATAGGAACCTACAGGGAAGTCGATTGTTTTATTGTATGATTCTGGATTATATGAAGATAGAATGCTAATGTTTAGCATAACAAAAAACCTTCAACTTTTTGCAAGGTCCCAAAATTGGTACGCTTTTTGCGAGACTTCTAAAACTGTACTAGACAAACTACTTCAAAAAATTACAGAAACTCCCACCGAGATGCTCGCTGGAGAAGTCGAAATCCTTAAAAGTAATCCAGTAAATTACATTCAGCGAACATTCTGGCTCAGAGTATCATCTAATTAAATCTACTGCTAATGAAATACATGTTCAGGAGGTACTTACTAGGTAGATGTTCTTTCACTGGTCGAAATTTCACGTATTTCCCAATAAACACAGTTCGTAAGTTATTTAACACAGAAAAATGTTCACATCATACACTTCATAAACCGGCACTAATTCAGAAGGGTCTGCATAAATATCATAAGTCTAATTAGACATAATTTACCAGATATTCGACGAAGTCCACGTTTTACCTACGATTAAATGCTGTTGCCACGAACACGACCACACTCAACTCTAAATGGTATCGTCTACAATTGACCGTACATTATTCGGTAAACACCTCACAAATATTATTTATCGCAAACGTTTTTCTGCCTTTTTTGCCTCGTATAGATCTATTTATAGATAAAGAAGCTACGACATCACCTTGACTGCCCTTGCCGATGTGAAAGTGCTGCAAGCAGAAAAATGATTGCAAAAAAAAAACTCGGCATCGAAGACTTAAACAAATAAGAATTTAAATACGTTAAAATTCGAGAAACGTATATACAGGGGGTTGTTGTTTGTAGTTTAATAAGCTTAGAAAATGAATGTAACATTACAAATTTAGTAGAATTGGATAGATAGATATGTATTAAATGCACTAATCCTTTACTTAAAATATGGGAACAATCAAGTTATTAATTGTATCAGCATTTTAACAAAAATTAGTAATAAAATAAGAAAAAAGGTTTTCATGACTATAGACATGAAACAGAAATAAAATTTACTGACAATCTGTACGTAATATATGTTCTTGGATTCATGATGAATTTTTATTCTCTTGACAATTGAACTGACCCAAAAATATGTATTACGTATAGTACCTAGACAGTACACATCGATAAATTCAACCATTGCAATACTACTTTTGGAAAATACCACAGCTAATTGATTAGTCGCAACAGAATATGACATTTAATCGTTATTAAGTACGAATAACTTTCTACAGGAGTGATGTGCAAATTTCGACATGCTAGAAACAATTGTTTAAAGGTGCGTGAAATATTTTACTATGTCTAGGTATGAAAATACACAGACAAAACATGTACGAACAATAATAAAAAAACAGGACCGGATTTAAGAGATTTTTAAAGCGTCAAAAGGAAATGTTTTCAAACCATGTCTACATCAGGCATCAATTATTTGGGGTTCTACCTTCAATGATCTGAGTTACGATTGGCAGATCAAAGAATTGGAAACTATCACAATTTTATTGCATCAGTTATTTGGGGTTTTGCCTTCAACGATCTTGCGACCTTACGATTGACAGATGATAGAATTGGAAACTACCGCACAGTCTATTTCAATTTGTTAGAATTGTGACCTTGAAGAAATCTGCGCGAAGATAGAAAGAATACACACTAGGCGTGAGCAAGACAGAAATACTTGGAACAAGCTCGAACGAGCAGAGCTCTCGATGGGCGGTCTTAGGAGATCGGCTAGAACTGTACAGTACTAGACGAAAATGTTTAGCAATTTCTTAAAACAAAAATGTATATAAATTAACAATAGAAAACAAAGCAAAAGTTTTATAGGTGTGTAGAACGTTAAGTTAATTCACTTGTTATTATTTTTGGCTAAATATGCTTTTAAATAAAGCATATTCTTAAATTTTAACGAGGCAGTTTAAATAATTTTGCAAATGGTACTGTACACTTTTGTCTAGTTCTCGCTCGATGATCGGTGAAGAAATGAGCTCCGCAGACAAACATGATTGAATTTGGAATTATGCTACGGCGCTTCCTAATGAAGGGAAGGGGCACATCTCTAACTTTTTGAAACGAACAGTAATTTTGTTTTATATCTGTGTTCTCTATCTTTCAGCTTCTCTCAACTACAATTATTTACCTTAATCAATTATTAAGACCCTTTGAATTGTCATTACTATCAAAATTTTAAAGGTACCTACTATAACAACATAATTAAAAAGTTACACATCTTTATTTTTAGCGATAGGATCTACTACCCGGTAGGTCTCATCACGATACAGCCGAACAATAAGTTACAACATAAATAAAAAAAAAGCGTTCGATATATAGTATCTACGATCTTAAACAATCTTCCCTGTGGTGAAAGCTTTTCACACTTCCTCTTTCTCGTGACGTACCCTCGGGTTGTCCATTACTGTTGAGATATCACGCCGGATCCTTTGAACGACCCTTTGTCGTGTACCTTCAGGTTGTATATTGTCGGTGAGTCAATCCGAAACGAAGTACAGTTGCATGGTATGTACTAGATAGCAGAAAGCAGCAGCAGCAGCAGCAGAGGCAGCATTGGATTGAAGATTAATGAACAAAATCAGCTTTCACAATGATCTCAGAGTTAAATACATCTGTCAAATCACTGTGAAAACCAGTTTCGTCTGATGACGTCGTGGTGACTAGGTGGATTCCATGGGCAAAGATGGAACGTGGGGGTCCTCTTCGACGGGTAGGTATATCACGTACTGTGCATACTATACAATCTCATCATCATCATCGTCACAACCATAATCGTCGTAATCGTCAAAACTTATTGTTGATTGCTTTGACTTTTATTTTATACGTATGTGTCAGAATTTTGCATTATAAGCATGACTAGGGTGAAATGTAATAATATCTCATATAACATGTGTAGAATTGTGTTGTACCTAATATCATATTCTACCTTAAAATGTACATCAGGAACATCACATGTTTAGTTAATATTCTCGAATGTGTAACAATACAATTTTTGAGTTTAATGATCAAGTTGCAAACAAACATATACAAGAAACATTAAAAAAATCTTTTGGATGCTCCCGGCATCAGCCTAATAAGTGATCCAAAGAAAAAATTGGACTGAAGCATTTACACCCGGAATCGAAGTCCGCTAGCTGGTTGTACAAGACAACACTATGCCTGCCTGGGTATGGTTTAAGTAAATGTGCGATGATTGCGCTCTGAACAGCTGCAGGATATTATAAATATTACAAAATCGCGCCTGGGCAAGGTAGGTTTTGTATACAGTTCAGGGTTTTAAAATTTTCCGGCCGGGAATCGTATTAATTGATATATATCAGTAATTAAGAGAATTAAAACCAAGCCTAAAACCCGGGCTTTTCACATCAAAAACAATTGGGAAAATTATAAAATTTTTATCTTTTTTTGAACTGATAGGGGTTACATCTCATTAGTATATATACTCAACCGAAATATAGTGGTTTTAGTATCAAAAATCCGAGTTTTTTCAGCTTCTCGTCCAACTTCTTGATTTTACAGATGACAGATCTAGATTCTAAATATATTCACCATTTATTCAACTAAAAAAGTATCCTCACATACATTAAAAACACAACAATTTCTACCTACTTTCATTGATATAGCAAACAACAAAACACAAACAAAACCAATTCTTCTTAATATTAACTAAACCATAATCACATTCTTATATTTTTGACAAAAATAATATACAAACAAACATTCTTTAACTTACAAACTTAAATAAAAACAAAAACTCAATACATTTCCTTTCTACTTTTTATGATTATACCCCTCACCCTACCATTCTTTCTTATTATATCCTTTCACTATCTTTTCTTTCCCTTCTTTTTTTCAAGACTTTTTTAAAAATACCTACTTCATCAAAGTTTCATTCTTCATACCTTCTTCCAACACATGCCTCAAGTTTTCTATTTCAATTCCACAAATCCTACATTCTCTCTTCTCTTTCAACCAGTAGTTATTTAAATTATTTTCGTTTCCCATTCTAAATCTTCCTATTACTTCTATATCCTTATTCTTAATTTTTGCCAACCTTCCCATCTCCATTCTCTCATTTTTTCTGCATACTTTGAACAGTGAATTTTTCTCAGATCTTCACTTTTCATTTCTCTACATCTATCCTTTATCATATTACTTACATTCAATCCTTTCTTTTCGATGCAATTAGTTGTTCCTTGCTGACTTCAGATTATTAATGTTCTCTACATTTTCAAAAACACTTTCTATCCACATGAATTATTTTAAATTTTTCAACTTGCAACTTTCGTAGGTGACAGACTGATATTTTGAACACATTTCAATTAAAGTTACTTATACAATATTACACTTACAGCTACATATATTTAAAAATTTTTAGGTAAAATCCTAACCTTTTTTTTTATATATTCAACTATTTTCAGAAACACATTACGTTTTTAAACAAAGCTGTGTGGTTAATTTGAGTAGAATAATATATTAATCTTTTAAATGTGAAGTAATAAAATAATATGTGTAATAAACTAATAAACAAGGAAACTGCTGCAAAAGATAATACAGAACAAGCAAGTTTAGTACTCAAAACAAAATTCATTATAAATAATGGTATACAAAGGTTACCCCGCTAACAATTATGTGACAGAAACCTTTGTACCCTTACAACTTTTATCTATAAAACATAAATAAATTAATAAAGGGTTTGAAGTAGGATTAGGCCCTTGTAAGCGCAAATAGTACAACAAATTCGATGTATTAAAAAACACTGTCTTTTAAAATGTTAATTTCTTATTTCAGTACAGCCCTACAGTTAATTTAAAGCAGGTTCATGGTTTTGAAATTTGAAATATTTCATGGTTTTCATTGAAGAGGAGCCTTCAATATTTTCAAAAGTGTTACGTCAGCTAAAAATAAACAAATGACTGACTAGAAAGACAATAGCTTCAGAATAAACAAATATCAATGATAATACATGTATGCCGTCAAACATATGACAGTGCACAAAGAATGAATTTATTTACGTTAACGTCACAACTCTACCTGCAATACGGTCAAATTATGGAAACAATCAAAATTTTTATCATAAAACATATCAACGTTTGAATGCATCCTATTAAAAAAAATAAACAAATATTTAAAAGTTATTATTTAACAACAACGATTTCATTGGTCATCAGGTACAAAGATCCAGAAAAACACTTTGACCTTTAAGTTGATGATAACTACTGTTCATTTCTCAAGAAATAACCATATTATTAAACAGTTAGATTCTAGCAACATAAATAGATACATGTTATATTTATTATACGCACATATTACAAAGATTGTCTCTCCTATGAATCTGAAAGAACTTACAAATACTTGAAGAATGATTGAAAAGCGTACATAATTAATATTATAATTTTTAATTATTTCATCAAGCGTTCGAAAACATTTTGGCAATAAGAGAATTAAAGAAGAATAGACAATTAATGAGTTAAATTTTCGTCTACATAGTTACTTCCCCAAACAGCACAACAATTACATATCTACATTA